TCTATCAAATAAATAAAATCTTAAAAAAAAAAAAAAAAAAAAAAAAAAAAAAGACCCTCTCTCTCCCCCTCCAAAAAAAAAAAAAAGACTAACACCAAGAGTGGGCATACTCTTTTCACAGCGTTATACTGCCTCCACCCGTGCTGACATTACCTTTCATTTAATCACTCACTCAACAAGTATTTATTAAGCACTTGACCATATTCAAGGCACTGAGCTAGGCTGAGCATCTAGTAAATAGTAAACAACATATGGAAGGTTTCTGACTTCTGGAGCTCACAATGTAGCGGAAAAGCCCTCAATGAACAAATTAATTACAGGAGCATGATTTTTTTTTTTTTAAGATTTTATTTATTTACTCAACAGAGATCACAAGTAGGCAGAGAGGTAGGCGGGGGGCGGGGGGAAGCAGGCTCCCTGATGCCGGGGCTCGATCCCAGGGCCCTGAAATCATGACCTGAACCAAAGGCAGAGGCTTTAACCCACGGAGCCACCCAGGCGCCCCCCCCATGAGCATGATTCTAATGATCAACAATCATACAAGTGTAAGGAGAGCAGTTGGATCATTTAATTTATTATGATCAATCGATCTTACCACACATAATGAAACTTTAAAAACTGAATTCACATTAGAAAGAAAACATGAGGCAATTTACTTAGAACTCACTCACTTTATGGATGAGAAAATTAATGGCTGGCAAAACTGTAGGAAGACACAGAAGTGGTTAAGTACATACCCTAAATTAGAATCTTAAGTAGAAATATAAAAATTACCACACTAAGAATTAAGAAATGTGAATTCTAATCCTATTTCAATCATAGCTAAACTACAGTCAGTTGTTTTTTCACCTGTATAAAGAATATATTCACCTTAGTATCCTGAGCCTCAAAATGAAAAAGGAATTAGAAAAGGCTATATAAAGTGCAGAGAACAATAATGCTACTCACAACAGTGAATGCATTCACAGAAAAGTCTAACTTCATTTAAGCATTCTAAACTAAAGATGCAGAAATTCCTGGCAAAGGATAAGGTCTTCACAGACCAATTAAGAAGCTTAAGACATTGTGTCTTTACACAATGTTCAACGTTAACTGTCACAGAAAAAAAAAAAAGTTAGAAACTTTTAGAAAGTTATATATATATAATCTACTCTAACAAAAAACCTCAAATTCAAAGGATTCACCAGAGAGTCCCTAAATAAAACAACCGTTTTTTTCCTAGCAGCAAATGGTGCTCGGTTTTAAGCTGCCATCCCAAAATAAAAAATACTGCCTTTTCTCCTAGAGTCCATGTTAACTTCTAAAGTGATTTATCATTCAAGGCATGTATTATTTACTTTAAAACCCTATTTAGAGTGGATAAATGTTGCCTTAATTCCTTAGTTATTGAGTACAGCATGCCTTAGAAAAGCACAATTCCCATATAGAAAATGCAAGAAGGGAATTTCTCAAAACTATGTTTAATCAATTTCTGTAATTTTTGAAGTTATTTCAAAAATATCCAAGAATTGGGGCGCCTAGGTGGCACAGTGGGTTAAAGCCTCTGCCTTCAGCTCAGGTCATGATCCCAGGGTCCTAGGATCGAGCCCCGCATCGGGCTCTCTGCTCAGCAGGGAGCCTGCTTCCTCCTCTCTCTCTGCCTGCTTCTCTGCCTACTTGTGATCTCTGTCTATCAAATAAATAAATAAAATCTTAAAAAAAAAAAATCCAAGAATTGGGGAACCTGGGCTGCTCAGTGGGTTAAGCCTCTGCCTTTGGCTCAGGTCATAAACCCAGGGTCCTGGGATTGAGCCCCACATCGGGCTCTCTCCTCCACAGGGAGCCTGCTTCCCCCTCTCTGTCTCTGCCTGCCTCTCTGCCTACTTGTGATCTCAGTCTGTCAAATAAATAAATAAAATCTTTTAAAAAAATACCCAAGAATTAATCTATCTTAAGCCGAGAATCATTAAATGGAAATTATACAACTTTATGAAATACAATGATCTAAAGTAGGTCTTAAAAGACCAGAGGCCTATAAGTCAGTCCAGTCTTATGAAGTCTGGCTGATTAAAATTTAAATACTTATGGTCACCTGCTACTAGAATGGTAAGAATGAAAACTATAACCTCTGCCCATGAGAATCAAGAAGTCTGGCAGATAAGTATACATATCATAGTGTATATATAAAGTCCTAGATCACTCCACATGAAAAGAGTGAAGACAGTTCTAGGAAAGGTTAGGAGAAAGGTCCTTTAAACTCAAAAATAACCAGTAGGCATTTACTTGAAAGAAAGAAAAGTAGGTTTTTGTCCATTCCATTAGTGAATTGTAAAAGGTGTACATGATAGATCTTTTTAAAAGGCCTCTGGGAGGCAAAATGGCCATGACAGGGACAGCCCTGGAGGTGACATGGTGCCAGAGCATACACCTTTCCTGAAAGCTGTGCAGTGCGAACAAGTAAGTTCATAGCCCAATCCAACAAAGACATGTTGTCTTTTCTTGCCATCGCCATAGAGATGTGCCAATAAGGCCTTTGCCCTAAAAGGCAATTCCAACATTTCACAGCCCTGACCCTGAACCTCCAGAGGGCTGCCAATGGCACAAGGCCAGTCAAGCAGGTCCTCCGTCCTGACAGGTGCGACAATGAGCACTCCATGCCTACTGGCACAACCTCCTAGGACGGCCACCTCTCCTGGTCCCTCTGCACTTTCACCTTCAAGCTCTGCTAAGCAGAAGCCCTTGTGTGGGCAGAGAAGCCATCAGTGAGCACAGTGCTGGCCGGTCGAAGAGTTTGTGGTGGCAGAAGAATGTGTTCCATGTTCTAATTTGCAGGCTACAACGACCCAAGTGTGGTACCACAGGGTATGTGGAGAAAATCATATGCAGTTCATCTAAGAGAAATGAATTCAAAGGCTGCCACTCAGCTCTGATGGAAAAACACATATTCTGGAAATCTGAAGGGGCCATCGTGGGTGTGGCCTTGGTATTCACTTGCTTTGTTCATCAGGGACAGCGGGACAAAAAAGCTCTAGATAAAGCCAGGGAGCAAATCAAGTCTATATAGCTACCTTCTACTCTTTAAAGTGGTCTTAGCGATTGAACCTCAGACAGAGGCAGTACAACGAATGGACCCTGAGATCATGACCCGAGCCGAAGGCAAGGCTCAACCCACTGAGCCACCCAGGTGCCCCAATACCTCATTTTCAATAATGAATAAATCAATAAGGAAATCAAAGACATGAACAATTCTCTTGACCTAAGAGACACATACAGAACACTCCACTCAGCAGAATCTATAACATTATCCAGGATAGACTACATGTTTGGACACAAAACAAGTATCAATAAACTTAAAAGGATTGAAATCATACAAGTATATGGTCTCCAACCACACTGGAATGAAATTAGAAATCACAAGGAAAGAAACCTGAGAAATTAACAAATACGCACAAATTAAACAACAAACTCTAAATATGTAAGCATTATGTCAAAGAAGAAATCACATGGGGAATTAGAAAATTCTTCTGGATGAAATGGAACAAAATTACAACATACAAAAACTTATGAGATGCTCCCAAAACAGTGCTCAGAGGACAATTTATGTAAATGCTTATTATCAGAAAAAAGACTTCAATGCAATAACAAACTTTTCAGCATAAGAAAATATAAAGAGAAAAAAAACTAAACCTAAAAGCAAGCAGAAGGAAAGAAATAAAGAATAAAGCAGAAATAAGTCAAATAGATGATTTAAAACACAAAGCAGGGGCCCCTGGGTGGCTCAGCAGGTTAAGCCTCTGCCTTTGGCTCAGGTCATGATCTCGGGGTCCTGGGATTGAGCCCTGCAGCGGGCTCTCTGCTCAGCAGGGAGCCTGCTTCCTCCTCTCTCTCTGTCTGCCTCTCTGCCTATTTGTGATCTCTCTCTCTGTCAAATAAATAAAATCTTAAAAAAAAAATAAAACACAAAGCAAAAAGAAATTAATGAAGACAAAGATTTGTTCTTTGAAAAGATAAATAAAATTGGCAACCTTAAATTAGATGAGCCAAGAAAAAAAAGAAGCCTCAACCTATCAAAATCAAGAGTGAAAGATGGGTCATTAATACCAATCCTACAGAAATAAAAACAATTTTAAGGGAATACTATGAACAACTGTACTCCAACAATTAGATAACCTAGATGAGATGGATAAATTCCTATAAGACAAAAGTAAAACAGGCTCAAGGGAAAAAAAAAATCCGAAGCCTCATAATAAGTAGAGACTGAATTAGTGATAATTTTTTTAAAAACCTCCCAGCAGTGCCTGGCTGGCATGCAACTCTTGATCTCTGGATTGTGAG